AGCAGTTTGCACACTATGTCGCGGTTATGCACAAAGCAAACAAGAAATTGTGGCTGGGTAGTTCATAGTAATATGTCCACTATTTTACTATTATCCACGGAAGCAAATGTTATGTAAATAATAACCTGGCTTCCAGATAAAAATTTAAAAAAAGAAAAACTAATTCTTACATTTTTTTCAATACAATTCTAAATTGTGCAAAATGACAGATTTGTTATACAATTTCAGCCTATACAAGTTGACAGGTATTCGAACAATATAAAGCACACATTCTAAAAATCCTATAAGTTATTCCATTACATATATTTAATTGTGCTTATAAAATGGCTACAATATTACACAATTTTTTCAAGTAGTTAGGTACGTCTACTGAAAAAACAATTCCCAATTATAATAGAATTTTTATTACGGTTAAAATATTTACCAATCAATCATACTATAAATGTACATGTTTAAAAAATGCAAATAATTTTCAAAAAAAAAAAAAAAAAAAAGAAATTTAATAATTTATTCCATTACATATAATATATCTAATCATGCTTATAAAATAGCTATAATAGAGCCCAATTTCTTCAAGTAATTAAAAATATCTACAGAAAAACAGAAACCAATTCCCAGTTGTAATAGAAATGAAATACAAAAATTATTGAGCACAAATTATAATATACCAATCAAATGGTATATAATGTACTGAATAATTTTTTTGTCTGACTAAATACCGTGTAGATACCACTAAATACAACATCGTCATTATTTGCAAGCACGATACCACGAAGTTGAGAGTTACCTGATTTCAAGTAAGGTGTACTCGTCGGGTATCACAAAAGTAGCCGATCCTTAAGGGGCATATCTGATGAGGTGAATTACTCAAATTCGACAGTGGCCTATGTAATTCAGGAGTGGAAGGTGAGCGGTAATTGTCAGAATGTGTCCCAAGTCGGCAGACCCATGAAACTCGGAGACAGAGATCGACGAATGTTGTCCAGAGAAATTCGAAGGAACCACACCCAACTGACGGCCCACATACACCAGGAGTTTTAACAGGCAACCGGGAGAGTTGTTTTGATGAATACTATCCGTATAAAAGCACATCTGCTTGATTTTCATGGTCGTGCTGCCACCCATAAGCCTTTGATCACAAAATCAACCGCACTGCTCGGTTATTGTGGTGCAAAGCACTTCGACAGTGGACCGTTTGTCAGTGGGAACGGGTTCTCTGGAACAAGGGATCAATGTTTGCCCTCTCCCTTTCGGATGGCAGGGTCTGGATCTGACGTCTGCCTGGAGAACGTCCACTGCCTGAATGCAGTAACAGTAACAGCTCGCAGTAAAATTCAGGGGAGGTGAAATTATGTTCTGGGGGTGTTTCTTTTGGTATGGACTTAACCCTTGGTCCAAATTCATGCTAAACTCAACGCCGACGCCTACTGCACTATTTTGAATGACAATGGGCTCCCTACACTGTGGCAGTTTTACGGGTTGGACATATATTATTTTCAGGATAACATTGCCAACTGTCATGTTGCAAAGTTCACCATCGATTAGTATGGTGACAATGGGATTAAACGAATGAACTGACCTGCCCAGAGCTCAGACTTGAATACTGTCGAGAACCTCTAGAACGAGTTGGATCGCCGAATTAAGGGGTACAACTACCGCCCAATATCGGAGAAGAAATATCGACTATCTTCTCCAAGCCGAGTGGAAGAAAATCTAAAAGTCATTATATAAAGGCTTATGGGAAGCATTCCCCGGAGGGTTGAAGTTCTACGAATATGTATAAATTTTGTTTTTCTTTTCTATCACGGGTGTTTGCAAAGACCTGATTGATTACGTTATTTACTAATTGTTACAAAAACTGGAAAGAAATATTTGAGCTAAATGAAAATGAGGGTGAAATAAAAAACTTGAACGAGCACAAAAGTAAATCTAAAAAAATGTCAGACTTTTATTTAGGAAAGGATACCATGTACTAAACTGTCATAAAACACCATATAAAGTAAATTTAGAAAGGTTATTGTTAACATATAATACTGAAATTTATTAAAATATTGTTTTAAATTCTTGAAATTAAAGGATTAGTAAGTATTGGAATAATAAATGTTAGGTAATAATGTAGTATGTGATCTATGGCTATTAGCTAAGTATTTATTTCTTAGATGGCGCTCCTAATTTTTAAACTCGAACGGGCGATAAAATGGCTTGAAAAAAGAAATCATTAAACCTTTGCGGCACAATGTGTCCGGTGTGGACACATCTAAAAATTTCCTTCTGTATGCACAAAAGATTTATAGGTTACTCTCAATCTTCTTTATTTATAGTTGATGGCAGCTCAACACAAACCAGTCCATATATTTTAGCCATGTTTAGTTTTTTAAGACCCTCATTTTTCAAAAGAAATCTTCCATTTTTTTTAGGGTATAAAAGGAATTGTTTGAAAAGAAATTTCTCTGTTATTTTTTTGGCTGTATGCTAAACTCCTTTACAAAATTTTGCTTGTGTACTCCTCTAGGCCTAATTAGACTGCCTACCTTTTTTTTTTTTTTAATCAAAACTCCGACTTGTAGCCTGCCGGAAAGGGTTAAAACGACAGCCAATTTTAGTGTGACCACCTAAAAAATAATTAAATATATAACTAAAAGCAGTAGATCGCATACTACATGATTGATTACCAAATATTATTTTACTGCATTTTGAACCGCATATTTCGAATGAACTATTTCATAAGGCATGCGCCCGTCGTATGCAACCCTTGTCTCTCAAAATAAACTCCCACCAACCTAAATTATCATCAGTTAAATACTAGACAGCAAATAATTTCATAAAACTGATTTCAATTCCAATTCATAAACTAATTTGCCGGAGTGCAGGGTACATGTTAGCCGTTGGTAAGCAACAGACGCTGACTGCCAGTGCAAGTTAGCTAATACATACTTTTAGACATCATTTGATTTGTCTTCTGGTGAGAGTTGGTGGAAAATTTCGAGACCAGAAAAGAATTAATAGAAAAATACTTAGTTAGTTTATGTAAACTTGTACAGCAGCCTTTTAAAATCAATATTATGACTGAAAAAAAAAAACTTACCGGTAAAATTGCTGCTATATTCGTAATTATAATTATGCGGAGATAAGCTGTGTTAAAAATCCCTAATATAACCGTAGCTGTAGTTAATAGTTGAAGGATTTTCTGTACATTATATATTTTAAGGATATAAAAGGATTTCTGCACATTAGATATTTTCTACACATTTTAGCAAAAATATTCATGTATATTTTCAGTTTGATGTTCATGAGGAGCTTAGATTTCCTAAGCAACAAGATATATCACCTCATAATTGATCATTTTTAGTGCACTATTCTATAAGATTTTAATCTTGCATATTTAGAAATCACAAGAGAATTCCTACAGGAGAAAGGGAATAAAAATGAGACACATAAATGATCTCGTAAACAAGTATATTTATCACTTAGAAGAAGGAACCTTCATATTAATAAAATGACAGTATCATTTTTTAGAAACTCTAATAATGTTCTTAATACGCATATACAAAGTGCAAGGAAGAAAAGTAATGTCCCCCGTGTAATGTCCGCACCCCAACTTTATAGATAAAATTTATGTAAAAAAAAAAAGTGAGCCGCACAATGTCCGCACCCCAAAGACTAAAGAATTTCTTACTTTTAAAAGTATTTTTTTTTAACATCGCCATTTTCCCTTTAGTCAATAAACATCTTTAAAGAAAGAATATGCATTTGTTTTGTCTTTGGTTGGCGCCAGGATGGAAAGCAGAGACTTTCCTTTGCGCATTCTGTTGCATTCAGTTCATAATACCGGCGCCGGCAAACCATTCCGCAGACGCGATAATAAATGAAGGCAATCCAAACACGTTTTTCACCACACTGGCTTCCAAGGAATACTGTTTTGCAATGAAATTACTTCACTCTCCTTCCTCCTTGGAGCATTCTCATATTTCAAGTTTTCGTTTTTCATTCATAGGATCATTTGGAATTCGTGATAGTTAGCAAATAGCGTGTTTGAAATGGGAAAATACAGCAGCTATACAGCGGCTTTTAAACTGAAAGTCGTAGGAATTTGCCCAGGAAAATGGAAAAAGAGCAGTAGCAAGAGTATATAAGGTGGACGAAAAGTGTGTGCGCAACTGGAGCAAACAGCGTGATCAACTGGCGGCAACGAACAAAACAAGACGTGCGTTGCGTGGTACCAAATGCGAGTTTACGAACTCAGAAAAAAAAAGTAGTCGCGCGTGTTCGTAATATGCGTGTTCAGGGGTACGCAGAAACAAGGGAAATGTGCCAAATAAGAGTGCTTGCTGCGGCACGAGAAGAAGACATTCCTACATCGCATTTCCATGCGAGTGAAGGTTGGTTGCGGGGAATGATGAAAGGAAATGGATTTTCATACAGTGCGTCAGAATAGATTTTTTAAAACAGTAATGTGTGCAAGATATTAAAAGAACCAACGTTTATTTAATTTGTGTAAAAGTAAATATTAAAATTGAAAAGATGTTATTTATTTTGTGCCCCTATATTGTGCTCCTGTGCGAACTAATACGTGCCGAGTGTTGATAGCGCAAAAGGGGTAATTTATATTATATAATGTGGAAGTGAGTTTGTAAATTTTAGGTAGCTATTAAACAACTTTAAATTTGATACTTTTATTACTTACGTCATTTTCTTCCACTTAGAACTTATCTTGGCTGTTTGAAATGAAATTTACACCCAAAATTACACACGCGAAAAAGAGCCACAGTTGAACGACACGTGTAATGTCCGCACTTGCATTTTAGTGATGTAATTTTAGTAAAAAAAGTGCAGATATTACGTGAGCGTATAGGGTAAGAAAGTCTAGGACACCTATAGTGGCATAAAACTATTAAGTTTGCTGTCAGTGATTCAAGCTGCAATTGAATTTAGTCTTCATTACTTACGACATCTGAAAAATAAGTTAATAATATTTCTTTCCTCCCTTCTTTTTTTGGCAGTTGAACTTAATCTTCTTCATCAATATCACAAGAGTTCTATTTTTGAAGATGTTTTCATCACAAGCCATCCAAAGTCGCCGATACAGGTACAGGTAAGAAAGGATCCTAAGAACTAAATACACAGTTTATGTGCAATCTTTTGTATTATTTGGCAATGTAGATCATTCCTATTTATCACCGTATAATATATATTTACTAGATCATTAAAACCAACTTAACTTATGGGAAACAATAGGAAAGCGACTATGCTATCATAAATACCACTATAGATTCGGAATAATATTTACTAAATTTGGAATTTACTCAGTTCCAAACTTGGTAGTGCAAGTAAACACGAAAACTTCGAATTTCGCCTTAATGTGAAGTCACAAATTCATATATCAATACTGGTTACAATTACAACGCTTGTTTATGTCTACACAAATTTCGCGCGTATTTTTGGCAAACTTTTGCTTATCGAAAATCTGAAAGTGAAGTGAATTTCTTCCAATATTCCAAAGGTACTTGATTAATAGCGATCAAGATTTTATGAAACATATTTAGTGTGTTTGAAAGTTTTTTTAGTATTCCTAGAAAGTTTCATATGGAAAGTAAATAGTGATTAATCAATTTTTCCATTTCTGCGAGGTGTGAGTACTCTAAAGATTAGAAAAAAATAGCTGAATTGATGATTAATTACCAATAATCATGGAACATAAACAGTTAAATGGGATAATAATTGATCCTGTTGTTCACTACAACTATGCAATTCTGTTGTTCCGTTCAACTATGCAATTAAATTTTTAAGGAGATCATAATTTTCTTGAGCTGACCCACCACACTCCTTGCCTGATCTACGGATTAACAGTTGTCATTTTAAGTATTTTACCAGGTTAAATCATCCCTGGGGTCTCATTTTTCTTAAACTTCATCTGAATTTTTGTAGGTTAAATTAATTTATCTATGATCCCCTTACACGTCTTTTTTTGAACTCTGCCGTCGACTTCTACGTCTAGATGTCAAACTGTACCTTTCATTTTGAACAGAAACTTTGTTTGCAAAGACTTTTGTGACTAATGTGCAAAGAATTCCTTCTTTGAACTAAGACGTGAAATGGTCGAAACACTGAAGTTACCCACAGAAATAACCATTTCTTTCATCTTTTATAGATTATTTCCTCCGTTTCTTCATTTAGTGAGTTTCGTCTAATGTAGAAAAAAATTCAAATTAATTGCGTATGTTACACTAATTAAAAATATCGAAGTTTGGAAATTACATAAGGCAATCTTTCACGCTCCCAGAACTGAAACTTTTTCTTCCAGAATTGATATTTTCTGAAATTTATTAACAATTATTACCTTACCCATGCGTTTTTCATACTTATTTTGGTAACAAAAGAGAGATTTAAAACACTACGACTGTAGTGCTTCTTACCAGCATACATCCAAATACAGAACAACTATGCAAGAATTGGCAATCAAGTTTATCCATTACATTAATGTAAATACCAGCATTTCTTTAACTTCTAATTAATAAAATAGAGATTGTCTAAACGCTAATAAAACTGAATTAGTATGAACAAGTATAAATTGTTTTCATATAACTTAACATATATATATAAAATTAAATGAATTTTAATTAATTGTGTGTAAAATATGTATACTAGTAGTAAACTAGTATAAAAAAAGTATACCAGTAGTAAAAGCAAATATGCTAAAAAATTGCTTTCGAAGGGCCAAAGTCCGCATAACATTCATGTGTATACGAGCCAGTTTCCCTTACAAAGTCCTCCACGAAAGGCATCCCTCCCCTTAGGCATATAGCCCTAGTGTGCTTTGCCATAATTAAATACACCACCATACCGCATAACATTCTAATTCATAAAAGTGGTCCTCTCTTGAAAAACGCTTGAGAAATGCTTATCTAACGTATTGTTACGAATTTTGTATATATGTAAATAATTTTAATGACATCGTATGTGAAATTGTAGTACTTTGAAAATGCTCTGAAAATAGGAATTCAGGGAAAGAAAAATTATCAAGTCTATTTAACACTGAGCAAATGTCTATTTCGCTAAATTGGCGAGATATCGCTAAGATGGCGATGGTTTTGGTGACTAATTTTTGTCGACTAATTTGGCGAGAAATTCGCCAAACTAGGAGACCACTTGCCGAAACTTTGGTTCTGTCCTTGTATAACTGTAATGGATACTGAAACTGAATAACTGTAATTGATTCTATATGTAACTGTAACTGTGTTTGGCTCTCATATATCTTGTAGTATTTTCGAGAAGTGAAAGTACTAAAGATTTTTTAGCAGCTGGGAAAAAACAAGGCAGCATCAGTTTCTCAGTATTTGTTTAGTTAAACGTTGAGTATGGAGTATCGAGAGATCTCCGTATGAGCTTTGCCTTTTAGATGTGCTTTGCATTATTCTGTATTTAGCATTCTTTTTAGGTTAAAGTGTAACTACTGAGTGTACTCTGTGGTACTGAAATCTATACGAGCATTTTTGCGGAAAGTTCCAGAACTCTAAAGTGTTTTTAAACAATTTTTCTCAAGCTGTCATTGGTTCTATGCGCATTCAATACATTACGATCCCGTATACATGCAACAGCATATTGTTTTGTTCTCTACAACAAATATTTGTATATTGTTTTTTTCTCTTAAAAATAGCCCCCAAAAATGTGAGTGTAAAAATAAGCTTGGTGATGTGTTATATTAATTATAAACTTATCTTTTCATCAGCTAATGTGCATTTTTTATGTGGTGGTATTAAATTAAAAAGAAGAAACAAAGATAAGGAGAACAGACTGTAAATTAAAAACAACTGGTTAAGAACTCATAATGAACGTAATAAAGGGATATACCATAGGCTATGTTTGAAATAAATAAAATAACACTTTTGAATCAAATTACTGTATGCGCGATATAATTTATATAATTATAGCGCGTATAAATTATATGCAAGATGCACAAGACTGAAGTGGGTTTTGGTGAAAGATTAATTTCGTATTAGATTTTACACGAAATATCCCTATCGGAAACTTTAATGATTAAATATAAGGTAATAAATTTCCTTGGCTAGTTGTACATTTTGAGATAATTGTGGTTTTGTTTCTGATATTCCAACTGCGACCGAAACAAAGACCACATCATACAGCAAATTGGTTCTGTATAAAGTTGCAAATTCCAATCACTGATGGTGCAGTTGTGACAGTTACGTTAATTTCTTAGCAGTTATTTTTCACTTACAAATAATTTCACTAAAATTATTTACATGTACGCAAAATTCATAACAATATAAATTATTACTGTATTTAATAAAGTATAACTAAGGTAACGTGTCTATAGGCTTCGCTGCGCTTACATGATGCCTAGGTTAAACATTTTAATCCTTACTTGTCACGCATCTTCAGCTATACAATATTTGGTTTTTATTATAAGCCTTTTATTAGAATCTAAGAATATCAGTTCTGAAGTAAAATGTATCTTTCTGAAAGATTAAATTTTTCCCCTTTGTAGGTATTATTCCTTCCCTGTTGAGAATTTCTGATTTATTAAAAATACAGCCTAAAACCTTCAACTATTATATTGATAAATATTAATTGCTAATACAGAAGTCAAACAACAAAAATCAGCGTTATATTTACAAAAATTTTCACAGGACTAGTTTCGATGGTTTTACTGAACCACCATCCTCAGCTGCAAAGCCGCAAATGAATAAGATAGGAAATAATGATTAGATAAGATAAGAAAGGGCCTGGACAAGAATAAGCAAGTGGCGCCATCTGTTGGTGAAACCAGAACTAAAACATAATTTCTTTAAAGGCCGAAGGCAAATTTGGATTGGAATTAGGATCGTTAACTAGAACAGAAAGATTTTTATGAATGTGAAATGCCTCTAGAAAATCCAGTTCTCCAATGGAAGATTTTTTTTTTGAATAATTTTGGCAGCAGAAAAATTGAAAGTGTGATTTTCGGACCAACAATGTTGAGCAACAGAAGACTTCTGTGTTTCCTTTTTTCTAACATATGCCTCATGTTCCTTGACGCGAAATTTTAAGGCTCTCTTAGTTTGGCCAATGTAAATTAAACCGCACTGGCAAGGAATCCTATAAATACCCCAGGAATTCATATCCGGAATGGGGTCCTTGAGTATGGAACTCGGAATTTTATTGATGGGAGAATAAATAACCCGAAAGTTAAATTTCTGCAAAATATGTGCAACTTTATAGCTAATTGATGGAAAGAAGGGAATGACAACAGAATTTTTATAATCTCCTAAAACAAGAGTGTGCCTTTTAGTGTGTTGAGATGAGAATTTTTTAATTGCTTGATTAATAATGTTGGGTGAAAAGCCCCTGTCAATAGCTATTGCTTTTAAATAATTTAATTCTTCATCAAGGGCTAGTTTGGAGGAGCAAACTTGAAGAGCACGGAAAACATAGGAATAAAATGAATCTAACTTTTGTTTAGTCGGATGACATGATTTAAAGTGTGGTGGAAGGCATACCGATGAAGGTTTACGGTAAACCGTAGTACTGAAGTTGGATGTGTTACATGTGACCAGAATGTCGAGAAACGGAAGAGAATTGCAAGTCTCAAGTTCAAAAGTGAACTGAATAGCAGGAGCAATCGAATTCATTGTTGAAAGAACTTTATTTAAATCATCTTTATTACCTTCAAACAGGGTAAAAGTATCGTCTACGTAGCGGAACCATGCCGGGAAATTTAAAGTTTCAAACAATTTTGATTCATAATAATGCATGTAGATATCAGCCAGGATGGGACTGAGGGGGCTTCCCATGGCTAATCCCTCAGTTTGCTTGTAATATTTATTTTGGAAAACAAAATGTGTTTGTTTCAAACAGAGTTGAGTGAGAGAAATTAGCTCATTTCGATGCAAGAGAAATGAAATTCGCGAAGTCTGGTTTCTAGACATCCTAATGCACCCCTCCACTGGGACATTGGTGAATAATGATTTTACATCAAAAGAAACCATGAGTAAATTACTAGAAGAAAAACTACTTACTCCTAATTCCAATCCAAATTTAACTTCGGCCTTTAAAGAAATTATGTTTTAGTTCTGGTTTCACCAACAGATGGCGCCACTTGCTTATTCTTGTCCCGGCTTTCTTATCTAATCATTATTTCTTATGTTGTTCATTTGCGGTTTTGCAGCTGAGGATGGTGGTTCGGTAAAACCATCGAAACTAGTCCTGTGAAAATTTTGTAAATATAACGCTGATTTTTGTTGTTTGACTTCTGAATTAGTATTTATTCGGCGTGTATTGTGTCTTAAATATTAATTGCATGGAGTTGATTGTTCATTAACTATTTTATGGGTTACGTTTGCATGGAGTCTCTTTTCCTTCAATAGGAAATGGTTCAAATCTACACTCGTGCTCGTGCCCTTGTTCGGAGTCCACTATGCTCTCTTACTGACGGTCAGTCTAGCTGCAGGTCTTAGTGAAACTCTGGAGATTACCTGGCTTTACGTGGACCAAACATTCTCTTCATTCCAGGTAAGAAACGACCAGGAATAGTTTAAAAGGATGAACATGAAATATGATTTCTCCATTTTAGTTACCCATCTGACGCGCAGAAGATATGACAATCAAAAAACGACTAAAATAATAAATTGCACAAATTTTTTAAATTTGAAAATAACTATCTTGAAAACTTATTTTATAGAAGTTCCTATAGTCTTTAGGCACTTACCAGAAGATACATTCTCTTCGTAAATTCTGCTGGCATTCTTTGAGATATGTAGTTGCCGTTTTCTGGAAAACTCTGCTAAGAGCTTTTCAGCAGAGCTAAAAACAGTTCCTTCTATAACCCTAATCTTGCCTGCAGAATTTACTATTTTTTCATAAAATTAAAGGACTTTTGGAGAAGCGCTTTGCTGACAATGAACAGTCCCAGAAAACTACTTCAATTCTCAGTGGACTGAGGTAAAATGTGTGACTTAAGTTATGTACAAAAAAAATTGTATTATGTGCTTCCGTACCGAGTGCGTTCATCTGGAATAATAACTAAAGGTTTCATTTAAAATAAAAAGGTTTTGTTCAACCAACCGCATTCATTCTTTATCAAGCGGGTATTGCTTTCTTAACATGTTATGCTTTCATAGAAATTTTATGCTCTCATTTCATTACGTTTAATGTTTACAAAACACTACACTACTTGCTCTGATGACTGCATCTAACTATTTCTTATCGCTATAAACAGAACATGTTTGTACAAACTGAAATTTATTAAGCACGTCATTAAATCTTGGTATGTCCCTGCCAAGTCAGTGTGTACTTTGGCACGAGGAAGCAACGCGTCACAGCTAATGTTTTGAAGATGTAGTTACAAAGTTGCTTTTTCTAAGGCAAATTTGTGAAGTTACTTTTTTATGTAAAGAATTGTGCTCCATCAGCAGCAAATGAACATTCAAGATATGATTATTTATTATATCATTACATACAAATCGCTTATCAACATAAATACAAAAATTTGTACATAAATACAAAAAAATAAGTCTAATATTTACAGTAAGTAGTTATAATTTGCCTATATAACTACTTACTGTAACTATTAGACTACCTATACAATTAGCACACACGACACATATTTTAAATGTGAGATACCTAGCAGTTTAATATACTCTAAACTTATTATAACACCAGTTCAATGGATTATTGTTTACAGTTTAGAATTAAATCCTTTCCTTCTTGATATTAGACATTGCTGCTAGTTGAAGATGCGCAAGAATTTTCTTTAATCTTCAATAATTTAATAGGGCTTTGCCTCAACATAGCGTAATTTAATAATTTTAAAATCCCTGAAGTTCTAAGTATTTCGAAACTAGCGATATTTTTAACAAGAATATAATAAATAAAAAGTAAACAGTTATTATAGTCGTACTAGTTTAAGATTGAATTCCTTGAAACTGAAGATGTAAAATATGAAATCATACATTTAAAACAAACTAGTGAAATAAAACAATAATGCCAAAGCATTTAAAAAAACTATCTGCAAACCTTAAACGCAAACCTACCTTATATTTAAAAAAATTAGCATAAAAGTTTAAAAAAAAACACGTTATAAAATATTACTCTTTACTATAAAATAAAGAAGGCTACTATACTAGTTAGTAAACATATGCCATTAAAAGCGTTTTTTAATTATTTTCAGCAAAGATAAAAATCTCCATGCTAATTATCAGTTGAATGATATTATGATTAAATGAATTTAATTTATCTCAATTAAATACACTATTCGAAAAGTAAAATAAAGATTTAAATGAATAGTGAGTGCCTTCATTGCTTTCAAATAGTTGAGTTGCTAACCTGTATCAGAAGGATTTTATTTAAAAGATAAATTAAAGATTTTCTGAATTTACTTAGAATCATCTGTGTAAGAAAGCGCGTGAGAGATAATTAAATATCTATTATTCGCATAATGGAAACACTGGCCAAAGCGCAGTAGAATAAATTATCTAAAGCAGCTGTTCTCAACCTTTTGACTAACGCGTACCACCTAAACAGAAATTGAAAAACTTTAGCACCACCACTACATTTTGCAATGATTATTTTCATTTTCTCAACAAAAATATAAAGAGATGTGTTTTGCCATTTGCACAACCCATTGGCTATTTGTATTAAATATTCACATATAAAAAATATTAGATTAAAAAGGCTACCATTAGGCTACCATTATCAAAATTTAAGTTATAATACTTTAATTCTAAAATTTAGTGTGAAATTTAGGCCTTTTTAAGAGAGGTCAATTTCTTTATTGGCTGGTCTTATTTCATTTAGTTTTAACCGTAAATTAGGATCCACTTTAAATTTTGCTTTGTATTTATTTTTCAAATATAACACTGAAGAAAATCCTTGTTCACGCAAATAGGTTATGCAGAAGGGCTATAAGCATTTAACAGCTTTATTTGAAATGCCTTTAATATTTTTTTTTTTTTGTTGTTGTTGTTGGTTCAGCCAAACTCTAACAAGTGTGTTATTTTTAAAATCTTCAGTTAAAGTTCGATCACAGAAAATTTCTGTCAGATGTTCTTTTCACGAGATAAAATTTCAGGTACATTTGAACAAAATGGATTTCCAATTCAGTTATTTTTTTTATAGTCCTCGGGAAAATACGTGTTGAAATTATTTATTAATGAAAAGCAATGGTCTTTTAATGTCGAATTCTCCTTTTATTTTCGAGCCCACCAGCGGCCGAGCGGTAAAGTCGCTGAACACAGGTAGTTCGGTCCGAGGTTCGAATCCCGCGAACGGGCTGGCTGCATGGGTGTTTTCGTGGTTTTCCCCATGTGTAACGTGTATACGAGCCAATTTCCCTTAGAAAGTCCTCCACGAAGGCATCCCTCCCCTTAGGCAGATAGCCCTAATGTGCTTTGCCATAATTAAATACACACCTTTTATTTTCGAATTATTTTCTGTTAAAAAACTTTTTAAAAGTAGTAAAGGCCAATTCTTTGATTATTAGCGCAAGTTTTTATATCATTGCATTCATTTATCTCTAATGGTAAACTTATAAACACTTTGTCCTTGCAATCCTAAATTTAATTCATTTAACGTTCCAAAAATATCAGTTAAATATGCTAAACGCGCCAACCATAATTCACTAAACAAATATTTTTGCAATTCAAATTTTGAATCACAGAGGAAAATTTGAATTTGTGATCGATGTTCAAAAACGCGATTTAAAACTTTGCCTCTGGATGACCACCTTACTTCGGAATATAACACAAGCCTTTCATGTTCATCTCGTGGCATAAAATCATAAATATTCTTGAATTTAAATCTCGGCTATTAATAAAATTAACGATTTTCACATTTTGATTAAAAACGATATTCAGTTCTTCGGGGATTGTTTTGGCTACTAAAGCTTCACGATGAATGGAGCAGTGAATAAATTTAGTTTCAGTTGCAACATTTTTTATTTGAGAAATAACACCGGAATGTTTTCCTGTTAAAGCCAAAGTTACATCGCTGCACACGGCAACGCACTTATTCCAAGTAATATCATTCTCAGACATAAAATTGTCATTTTATGGATGCTATTTCATGAATTCCTCGAGTTACTGTATCAGTTGATAACGGCGTTTTATTTGGTTCATTAGCCGCCTTTTTATTGAATAATGTTAAAACGATATCTCCAGCTGCTGGTAATATAAGCTTTTCTTCAATAATGTGAGCCTGCCCAGACTTGGAAATTCTTAGCCTTACTATAGAACTAACTTCCAAAGATTTTTCAATTGAATTAACAAAACCTTTCAGTACTTGTTTACTATTTTTGTATTTCGATAATTTCCTCTTAAATTCTTCAGATTTATCCTTTAAACTGGCATGCTTAGATTCAAGATGTCTTTTAAGAAACGCTGGTTTCATAATTTCATTGGATAACCGTTCACTACAAACAATACATTGAGATTGAGGGTCCACTTCATATCCATCCCAAGTAAACCCAAATGGCAATTAACTTTCATTATATTTTCTATAAATATTTTTTTTAATATTCTTAGTGTTAGTAAATTGTCCTAGATCCATCACCTGTGAATCATAACTTTTCCGCTTAGTTAATCCTAACCATTTTTCCATTTAGGAAATCTAGATTTGCTTTTGTGTAATTTTTCCATTTAGCAGTAACACCTAGGTGTTAAAGGGATTTTTCACAAATAATATTTCAATGCACAAAATATTACGAGTTCTTCAAAAACAGACGACGATATCCTTAAAGTAGAAAAGTAAGGAATACAAGACAGCAAGAAGACAAAATACCTGCAATTAGAGACAGCAAATCGACGTAAAAAATTATTTTAACTGAAAATAAAGCAATATGAGCCCAGAAAGGGTAACAACATAAAATGTCGACCATGCTAATAAATCGACCAACTCTAAAAGAATTAATAATATACTATTATCTTTTTATAGGAACTTAATATTATTTCCTATTAAATATAACGTCTATTTCTACTACTCCTTTTAAAAGCAGCATTTATGACAAATTTTGTTATGTGTATGGCTCAAAGAATATTTGTGAAAATAAAAATCGGATTATTTTGCTAAAGTCTATGAGCGGCTACTGACCTTGAACAAAGCTCAGATCGCAAACATTTACGAGTGTTAGAGAACAAACTTAAACAGAATGTTAGGGTATTTAATTTTTGAATTTAATAGTTAGAAATACTTTGTTTCTTTGCGTACCACGCATTTTTCTCTTGCGTACCACCGGTTTAGAATCGCTGATCGAGAGGCTTCTAGACTTTTTCTGTCCTTTGTCAGCCAGTTTGCGGAATATAATCTTATCTATGGATTATATTTTTCAGTAACATAATTTTACCTACTAACTGAAAACAATAACGCGTCTTCCCGGTCTTAAAAAACTTGCTAATATTCCTTTATAAGCGAAAATAATATGGCGACTTCTGAACTTATTTAATTAAAAACAGATGTAATTAATTAAGACGTAATAGTGTTATTTTTATTAAATCGCTTGTATTCGAAGCTTGCAATAGACATTTTCCATTAGGGTAGAGAAGCAATGTTATATATTCATCTAGATAGAAATTTCAAATAATGAAAGCAGTATCACTTAGGTATTAAAGATATTTTTGCGAAATTCTATTCACCATCTGATCAGTTATTATATTTCTATACAGAAGGATGTATTATTGTTATTATTTGGTAATTAGAAGCGTATATAGGGATACTTGCCTTTGTAAAAGCTTCTTTTGTAAAAATAAAGACACTCGATAAGATTATTTGAATTCCATCTTCATGCATGAGATCTTTTTTTGTTTGTTTGTTTGGTATGTGTGTGTGTTTGGGTATGTAGAAGGGTGGGTGGAGTTGTGGAAGCGGACTTTTTTTGTTTAATTCAGTATATTTAAAAAAGTTAATTATATATGTTTGGTTTCAGAATCTACGTAAATAAAAATTTACGTAGACTCTGAAACCAAACATATATACTTAATTTTAGTCGTTATCTTATTTGTTGAAATAGAAGTGAATAAATTTATTTTATGGAAGTATCTTTCTAATTGTCTAATATTAACCAAAATAAAGTAATATTTGTAGTCTTTAGCTTTTAGAAGCCAGTTTTTCCAATTATTCAGATTGTTAGTTTATCCGGATTGCCTGTAAATGAAATTCATTTGGATATTTGAATCAACTTTACTGCCTGCTTGCTAGATTTGATAGCTCTAGTGTTTAGTTTCTTATTCGTGCACTGATTTTGAAGTGCTTAGATTTTATTGCATTGGTTTAAAAATTTTTAAATGCTTCTTTGTTTTGACAAATAACTGTTAATATTTTCAGGGTTCGTTCGTGGCTTTACTATATTGCTTCTTAAATGGAGAGGTAAGATACTTTTTTTTTCTTTATTTCAAATTTTTTTCTATGCCATACGGTTTTGTGCTCAGTCCGTTATGTTAAAACATATCTTCATGATGCATTAAAACCTCATTCACTTCTCTATTTATTTCCTAAAACTGTTCATTTAATTTCGTATAAAGTTTAATAAGTGTACTTCATGCTTACTTGTTTTACTTTACTACCATTTACTGATATAAAATCATTATTAATTTACCTAAAAGTTTCTGTAGGACGTTGAACAGGATGTTTTCGATTTTGACACGCCAATGATTATGAATTTTCTTCTCAGGTATGCAGGATTTTTAAAAATGTAAATTTAAGGAATAACTTGATTTTAGAATTCAGTGATCTTTCTTACGGAACTGGCACGAATATCGCAAATCAAAACTCGTAAAACTGTATATTATTTGTCGTTTAACATCGTTCTCTTCACCACGTCAGAAAACAGCCTATTCTATTCTTTTAAATGTAACTTGAATTTGAGTCAGTTTTCCTTAGAAAGTCATTCATGAAGTTATCCTTTCCCTTAGACAAAAAGTCCTTGCATGCTCTGCAGTCCAAATAATCCAATTTAATCCTCTTGGTTAAAGCTGCATCTCCGTTTAGTTATCTTATTAAAATACTTTGCTGTAGTAAATTCTCAATTACGATCATTAAATTCTCATTATGTCAAATACCCTTTCTAACTGTAACCATTTGTTGAAACGTACCTATGCAGAGTTAAATCAAAATGTATCAAATGACTCATAATTCACTTCGAGTTTTCGAAATTTGATAGTACAGTAGTTATCACAAATACAGCAAAAAGATGCGTATAAGTACATAAATCATTTTTCTAAGTTTACATATATGCCGGTCTCTTAACATAATTTTAAATTTAGCCTTTAAGTAGCAGTCATAAATCTAGATGGCAGTATGTCACAAATATGTTTTTCACTGCTGAATGCATAGAGCTTACGGCATCGTATAATTCGTTAAATGCTAGTGCAACTGCCCAGCGTAAATTTCATACCAAATATGAAATAACGTAAGTCTTGTTAGATAATTCAGATGAAATAATTCTTGCATGTAAGCAGGTTCACGGAGAATGACTACCTATGCGATGCAAATCGAACGAATAGAGTAAAATCATCGGCGGTGATCTTAAATCTTAAGCGAGAAATATTTATTTATCAAGTGAACTGAAGTACACAGCCCAGATATATTTTTTATTGCAGCCAGCTGTGGACGTACACTTCGCAAATGTCTCTGTGAAATCACACTGGCTACAGTTGTTGCAGGCACTGAGTCCGCTGGGTTATAACATTTGCTTCCGTTTCTATGACGTGTTTCTAAAAGAAACCAGAAGAAGGTAATTTTGCTGGGATAAAGATTTTTGGTAACAAAGCAACGTTTCATGTGTATAGCAAAGTGAATAATCAAAACTGCACTTATTTGGGGCGCAGAAATTTCTCACGCAGTTTTACGACGCATCTATGATTTGTGTTGCTTCTTAGTTAATATGTTTTATGCTGCTTCTTAGTCAAAACTTTATAAGCCATTTTTCTTTACGGAGTGAACAGTTAACTGTTATGGATGTAGTTTATCTTAAACATATGCTTCATCAGTGATAATAATAATCAGAATAATAGCACCATAATAGTCAGAATGTAGCAAGGTCTTTCTTTTTCGACAAAAAGGAACTCTCCGTACTTTCATATGGCATCAACTCTCAACTTCTTGGTGATTAGGTTGTGTTTCTCGGGATTACTCTCTACGATTTACGTGTTTTTCACGCTCATTTGACTTAAACCTATAAGATCTATTCTTATGGGGCTCACGCATTTGTGTTCTTTTTGCCATTTGATTTAGCACAATTGTGGGAAAGGGTTGTGCATGATGTCGTTGATATCGAACACGATATAGTATTAGGCCTTGTGTAACAGAAACTGGAGTTCAAAACTGATGTATCTTGTATTACCATGGATGCACATATCAAGTACCTGTGTAAGCTTCGTGCAAACCTTTGAGATATTACTTACGTACTGATATGCATTTTATTGATGTATTTGTTATAGTAATTTTTCCTTCCAAACTTAGAAAAAATTGTGTGAACCACCCTTTATGAATATCATGTCTATTTTTTAAGTAACTATGACCGCCATAAAACAGAACTAATTCTTTCTTTCGTTGGCGCTAGGTGCAAAGCGAAGTGAGAAAGGGAATCGAACGATTAAGGAACAAGGATAGTCAACATCGTCAGCATTCCATTATAACTCACTCACTGACTTATCTGAGTAAAGGGCGTTCCTCCGTTCAGTCCATGCACACGATACCAGGTAAGCAAAGCTGAAACGCTTTGGGAGAGAGGCTGTTTCCCATAGAATTGTATTTACCTTTTTCGAATGATATGGTGAATGAATAGCACATCCAACAGAAATAACCTTTACTTTGTTTTCTATATTCAAAGCATTTCATGATTGTTCTAGCCAGACTGTGCGTACCAATTTTATTGCAATAACAAGAGATATTGTAAATTATTTCTACTTACATAGGCTTCCGGCAGAATTGATAACACATTAATAGAATTATACTATAATCAAAAAATGTTTTACTCTATGTCACATAGTACTACAAGCATACTATTTATTATTATTTGTTTCAATATGATATTCTTCCGAACGGCGCTCAAAATTGTCCAATACTCATCGTGTATCGCCAGGGATTTCAAGTGATATGGCAGTTACAGTTGCTGAATATGGACAAGGACACTTAAATTTCTAGAGTCATTAGGTTATTTTGAAGAAACTCGCGTGAAAAACGCCCTCACCGGGACTCGAGCCTGGACCTCTTGAATACGCGCTGAGGGAACTACTGTTGCATCACGAAGGCATGCTGGAAAGGGGGAAGAAGGACGTCTAGGGATTAGAAGATCTAATCGTTAAATCTTGGTAGTGACGAATTATGGTCCACTACCTTTTAGTTCGTGCGCAATTACATTATTTTGAGACAGGAGATATGCAAAATGTACAATGCCCTTCCAAGAACTCGAACCTGGACCTCTGGAATATGCGCTACCGTTACACCTCGAATGCATGCTGGAAGAAGGGAGAAAATACCTCATAAATTCAAAAATAAGTGGAACTCATACATATGCTCGCTCAACTAGCATATGCATGCCTTTTTTGTGACAAATATTTTCGTAAACGTCACTGTCCTTCGATCTAAAATGTCCTAATACTTTTTATGGAGGACACTGAACAACCGTATCAAAGATGACGTCATCAATATTCTTGGAAATATGATATGGCAAGTAAAGGGACAGCTTGAAGGAAAGTATAATCATTAGACATGACCGTCAGTAGAAAAAAAAATGATATTCAAACTCTGATTTGATAAATGGTATTCTTGTAGCTGTTATTTGGCAGAGAATGATAAATAAAAAACCTTCATTCGCTTAAGGTATGCTTTGATATATATGTTATGAAATATGCTGCACCATTTTGTCAGGAACAGCCACCAGTAGCAGTTTTAATAATGGTTTTTTTCATACTTCAGGTCATATTAGATACTTTTATTAAGTTAAGTTCATCCAGGCACCAAGTGAAACAAACATAAGTATTGCTGCAAAGTACAAAGAAAGATGATTACAAGATTGTGTTGATTGTTTGCTTAAATATCACTAATCATAAGTTTTAGGTATCACTGTACCGTTAGCCATGGCAGAAATTCTGTGGATTTGCAATCTTCGGCAGATATGATTACGCAATAATCTTATACATATTAGGTCTTGCCCATATTTTAGGGGGCAAACTCTAAATCCCGGAAAGCATACGTTATCGGTGGATTCTAAACCTTTCAATGGCCTTTTACAGTGGAAAAAAAATGTACTCGTAACACAAATGCATGTGCAACAGTTCTATGCTTTAACGTAATAAAAATGAAACAAAAAAAGTTTTCAAGCTTTCTTGTCAAACGCGGCGCTATATTATGCTTAACATACATGCTATATGATGTTTAGTAATAAATTCTCCTACTGCACAACAATACTTTGCGCAGTAGCTACTTATTGGGCAAAGTATTATTGCAGATGTTTCCAGCTTCACTGTTTTTACGGACTTAGATCTCCTGTGGTCTCCCTAATATAAATTCAATAATGGAGATTTTGCCTCTCCTAGCAAAGCTTCCACTTCTGCAAATAAGCGACTTCCCAGAGCTGCAGAGTTATGAAGAGCCTATCTAACTTATCAACTGACATTGATACCATAAGCTGAATGCTTTTTCATCGATCCTGAAATGCTTTAAGAAAACGTTATGTATTTGCATTCAAGGTTAGTAGACAGACAAAGTTAGTCTCTTTCAAACAATTGAGTTCAATTACGTCGCTTAGGTGGCCTACCACAGAAAAGAAGCTTTGGAGAAAAGATGAGCCAATGACTTCCAAGCTTTCTGGTTGGGAAGAACAAACCTTGTAATACAGTTCTTGTGTTTAAAATATATAAATTCTCGGGGCGGTTCTCTTGTTGTACCTGGGAGCTGTTGCTTTGGATTGGAGAGGGCGTGGAACATACACCTGCTTACCTATCTTAAAACATCAGGTATCCCCTTCCTCCGTCATCAGTCACCCACCAGTAACCGTCCTCGTAATTAACATCCAGAATGGCTCCAGAACAATCCAGAAGAAAGGTAGTTCCAGAACAATGGAAAACATCTATGCAAAATATTAGGTGGGTTCGCAACTCTGACAGCAAAATTTCTTTCCATATCTCACTACTTCGAGTATGTGATAGGAGTGTCTTACAATATTTCTTTTTTCTTATTTCTTTTAAGACGACTTTTGAATCAAAGAATTTTAAGTTATTAATTTTAAATTTAAAGGCAACAACACACAGAGTCATAAATTTACGGTCTGTGGGAAACGGATTTTGACAGAAACACATGACTTTTGCATACTTATATACCCAATAACCTATTCGCCTTTTTTTTTTTTTTTTTTTTTTTTTTTTTTTTTTTTTTTTTTTTTTGCCTCAGAATACCCACCAATTTTGGAATGACTTCTGAGCAATGGTAATTTAACCAAAAAAAAAAAAAAAAAAGTTTCTCGCAGACGATTCAGTATTTCTCATTCAATAAATTCAGTTCTCACTTCTCGACAAGGCAAAAATATATAAAAACTCAAAATATCTGTATTAAAAATTACGAAGTAAATCTTAAACACTTATTTCCTCGAAAAAATTCCAGAAAGGATTAGCATGATTTAATTCGCAGTAATAAATGAAGGAGTTACCTTTGTTGTTGCGAAGCTTAGTCTCTCCAGATTGGCAACAAATCTACTATTCTGCTGTTTCAAATGTAAACAAACATGTCCGCCATGCTATTTAAAAATTAGGCTTAACCGCATTTAAACAGCTTTTAAATTGTTGATAATTCTACATATATTGCTTGCAGATTTCCTAAAGGCATAAAAACCTTAACCGGAAGATAAGAACAACATAACTCAATCATTTTTAAAGCAAAAAATGCACAATTTACAAACATATAAAGGTAAAGAAACTGAGATCACTGAGCCGGGTAACAGAATGAATATATATATAAATATATTTATATATGTTTGGTGCTGCCGATTGCAACCAAAATACGAGGTGCACATCTGCATGTTATAGCAGTCCTATATACAAAATTTCAACGTTCTGAAGCTACTCGTTTTTGAGTTATGCGAGATACATACGTACGTACAGACACCACGAAAAATTCTCTTCAGAATTCAATTTAAAGTAGTTTTATAATTTTTGTCGAGGAAAAGAGTCTTTTATTCTGTCCTTACGTACAGATGTCAGCACAAAAGTATCGCTAAATTGCATTCGATAGCGGTCAAAATGGATATTTTCGTTGAAATATGCTGCCTGAAACTTTTCGCGATTACAATACTTCCTTTTTACTTCGTACAAGGAAGAAAAAATCTTTCTGGTCTAGGCAACGACTCTAATTCCAATCGATCTTTACCTTCAGCCTTTAAGAACTTTATATTTTAGTTTTCTTGTTTCATCAATAGATGGCGCCAGTAGCTTGACTTCTGTCCAGCCATTCTTATTTTATCTTTTCTTATCACTATATCTTATATCGTTCATTTGCATTTTGGCAGGTTGCTGGTTCGGTAAAACCATCCAAACTAGCCCTGTGAAAATTTTCAAATATAACCCTGATTTTTGTTGTTTGACTTCTAAATTAATATTTGTTCGTCGTGTTATTTTAAATTAAATATTAGGTTACTTAAGAAAAATCTCACTTTTAATATTGTGTCCAAACAGACTACAAATATCTCTCATTTTTATGTTTACATTTTCAAGACACACAGGATATATGATAACGAATGCTCAGCATAGCTTATTTTTAATCTAGCATATATAAAATAATAATAAATTGTACGATTTTCTGCAAATTTTCTGCAATTCTTATAACGTATTTAGAAAGTAATAACCTGTTACAAAGCAAAATGAATAAAAAAAAATGTTACAAAGGGGGGGGGGAAACCTTGTTATTTTGAAAGAATGGACTATTCATGACACTGAGGCACTTATGGTGCCGAGAGACGAGAATTTGTACATATTCCTTGCACACTTCTACAGCTGATTCATTGAAAAGTGAAATTACAGTTAACTGAAGGTCTTCATTGTTATCAAAAGGTTTCCCACTTCTGTAAGGTTTCGCGAGATGTAAGGTAAGTCTCTTAGGTTTTGCGAAAAGATCTGTGATCTCTGGAGTCAAGATCAGGTCTCCAAACCAGATGTTTCCGTAATCTTTTCCCAATGTTCTGAACCAGATGTTATCTATAGAGATGCAGCTAGGCTTTCTCAAGAAGAAAAATCAGTTTGATGTTTGTTCAACTAATTTCTTTTCTTTCTTCCTACTTTTTTAAATTACCAAAGTAATACTATTTTCTGAGCATGCTGCATATATGTGATATATTACCCACAAAAAGGCATTAAGAGTCTAAAATAAGATAACAGTGTGTGAGGTATATTGTGTTATTTGATAAATAACTTTGATAACTAACTGGCTAATGCTCGTAACGATATTACGAGCATTAGCCAATATAATAATGAAACGTATTGTATATTGCCTTGTTTACTTGTTCTGCCCTTAATTGAGGAACTCATAAAGATTTAATTTAATGTTCGAAAGATGACAGAAGAATTTCAAAGCATTTTATCTGTATCTTGTGGTATCAAATATAATTTCGTGTAATAGCAGAATTAAAAAAGAATTTCCTTTCCATCAAAGTGCTGCTTGAACATTGAAACGGCTCACCAACGATCAAACGGTAAATCATTGAATACTG